TCATCGTCATCGTGACCTATGGATCATACACTTGATCTTATGGTGTGCACTTATCGTTCCTGAGATGACTTTGGTTATCTCTATAAGGACGACATTGTTTTGGGTGCGACTTTGATCTACATTGTGGATTGGCTATTACAGTGGTCGAAAGACTTCAGCGATACAACTGTATTTGGCTGACCTACATTGACAATGTCGAATAGAACATTCTATTCTCCATTGAGATTGGAAGCTGTGAGATGCTCTCTATGTGGAAAACTGATTTGGAGAAAGAACTTTGTGTTCTGACTATGCTTTGTATCCAGAAGAAGGGTGTACAGACACCTTGTGTGAATCACTTCGTTCTTGAGAAGTTAGTCAGCGTATGACTAGTGAGCTGGTTATTCACGTTTGAACGAGAACCAGTTTGTTTTGAGAACTTTTGGAAGTGTTTCGATGATTTTGAATTCATCTAGTGAAATTGAGTTTTGTAGACTTCTAGCAGCTGGAATAGTTTCAACAAACCTTTATTTGAAGAACTTGAGGTTTGTTAACTGGAAACCTGGAATCGAGTTTACCAGTTGAGACATCGGCTCGAAGGACTGGTGTCAGAAGTTCATTTAATGAACAGAAGCTGCTGTGTCAAGTGACATAAGACAGACCGACAGAGGGAACTTCTCCGTTTTCTTGTGTTTTGTTTGTTTGTTCTTTTGTTTCTCGTGTGTTGTGTTTCTCTTTGACTGATCGTGTTGCGTCTGGAGCGAAAAGAAGGAGCTTGACGTCAGCATGTGGGAGTCGAGGGAGAAACATTCATTTTTGACACGGTATTGCCTTAGTTTAATTAGTTTAGGGACTTACGCGCTGCGCTGTGTTTGGTGTGCGTGGTTGACGTACGCGTCCGCCCGCGTAGTTCTGTAGGAATTTTGGAAGAAGCGTTGGATCTGACCGTGGATCTGTGCACGGCGCTTTTTCTACATGGTAGCGGAGCTCTATGGAGCTACCCACACCATTCTCCGCTGACCCTTGTTGCAGTGTACTAAGGACACCATCTAAGGTGAAGCTGAGATCGTTTGTATTGAGCTCCTAGGTTTTCGCGAGATCTGTGTTGAGCTTGTGCTAAGATTTTGAAGTGATCACTAGGTTGGTACATTGCTGATGTAAAGTCAAGGGCATCGAAGAGCTTGAGTATTCTTAATTGAGATGATGTGTTTTTGTTTCACTTTGCGGCATGTTGACTGTGAGGTCATTGGTTGAAAGTGACTTGTCAAGTGGTTGCCGGAGATGACATGTTTTTGGAATGCTTGGAGTATCTCGACAGGCTGAGGTTGGGAGTAAGTCCCGGAGACACAAGTGAGGTGTTTGGACAGTGAAGGCTCCGACAACCTGCCTGGAGATGAACATTGAGAGTATCGCGATAGGCTGAGGTTGGGAGTAAGTCCCGGAGACACAAGTGAGGTGTTTGGACGGTAGAGACTCCGACAACTGGCGTAGAAGTCTTTGAAAGTAAGAGTTGAGAAACCACTGGAGTGTGAGTGGAATTGTAGCGTTTAAGCTCAAGGAGAGTATCGCCACGTAGTCTATACCAGGAATGGACAATCGCGACAACCGACCGTTACGTGAAGCAATGGAGGAACGGTACATTGAGTGGATTGTTGGATTGGAGAAGGTGTCGAGTATCTTTCGGATAGTACAGACTATGCTTGTTCTCATGGAATGGCTTCTACCTTTGCTTGAGGATATTGGTTTGAGTGCGAACCAACGAGACATCATGACAATGTTCCGCGATCATCTCTCGGAATTGGAGATCGAGATGCAAAGGCAGATTCTTCAGCTGCGTGAGCATCTCTTAGGCAGATATCAGAGGTCATTGCAGGGTTGAAATACCTGTGACCCATTGCTGTGTGATAGATTTGACAGATATGTGGTCGATAGGGTTCCTGGCAGTAGTGGTAAGCGTGGAAAATAGGTGACAACGCCGGAGCTGCATGTGAGAGTATGTTGCAGTTGCGTTGCATGTGAGACTTGTGATTTGGTTGTGTAAGAGGTTTTGTGACTTTGGCAAGAAAGAGAGAGAGCCTGGAGAGTCACTAGGAAACTAGGAAGCTTGGTGATTTTGGCAGAGAGTGAGAGAGAGTGCCTGGAGAATCACTAGAGAGCATTGGAAAGAGTTAAAAGGAAAGTGGGCTGTACGGCAGGGTGCTGCATAGGTCCATATTGAAAGTAAGAAAGAGTAACATCTCGACAGGTTGGTCAGGTCGTAGATGATTCAGGACGCACGGAGTGCACAGTGCGTGGTGCTACTGAGCCTGGCGTCATGCCTGGAGATGACAGTTGAAGAGAGAAAGTTCGGCATGAGAACCACGGAGGGTTGTTGGCCTTGGTTTAGTTGCCACAGAGTTGAGAAAGTTTGGCATGAGAACCACGGAGGGTCAGTAGCCTTGGTTTAGTTGCCACAGAGTTGAGAAAGTTTGGCATGAGAACCCGGAATGGTCGGTGACCTGGTTTAGTTGCCACAGAGTTAAGAAAGATTGGCATGAGAACCCGGAAAGGTCGGTGACCTGGTTTAGTTGCCATAGATTGGAAAAACGTTGGCATGAGAACCACGGAGGGTCGAGTTTGCTTTGTCAGGTCAGTGACCTTGGTTTAGTTGCCACATTTGTAATGTAATGCGTGAATAATTGAACACCTGAGGTTCAGTAGTGTGCAGGAGCAGTGGAGCTTGACGGATGTTTGCACTGACTGGTAACCTTGAGACTGGAGCCTGAAGCATTGTTGTTTGCCTGGCAGTGTAGGTACTAGAGTGCTGAGAGAGAGAGATAGGAACCGTCATGGCACTGGAGGCACAGTGGAACTTGGTGTTGAGATTGTGAGTTGACAACGGAGTGAGTTGTGTTTGCCTGTTTGGGAAAGTTGGTTTGATTTGTCAGATGCATCAGGTAACCAACATCCTAGGTTTGAACTGCAGTTGTGAGTGCGTTTGATTGGGACATGCGGTGAGTCATTGGAAACGACCTGAACTGTGTGGGAAGTGGAAACTGTTTTGAACTGTATTTTGAAACGAAACAGGAAACTTTGTTGTGAGTTTGTTTTCATGGTTTTCTTTGACCGGAATTTGAACAGTTTTGCAGTGTCGCAGGCAGGTCAGGTATGACTTACGTTCTTTAGATAGTTGCAGTTGCTTGTGAAACCTGGTACAGATGCGGAAAAGGTACATTGAATCCTGAGACAGGTAGGTACTCTTGAGTTGTTGTCAGACTGACTGGACTTTGTGTGAAGACAACTTGAATGCAAGTATTCCCTTTTGGCTTAGAGCAATCATACCGTACCTCTCTAGATGGATGGACGAGCACGGAGGTTTCTGCAAGCCAAGTTTGGCTGTGAGACGAGCTCTATGGTCTTTATAGCAATGATTGCCAGTGTGGTTTGCCTACGATGGTTGTGGCATTTCTTTTGGTAGAGATGTAGTTTGAGAGCAAGATGCTTGTGATGTTGGTCGACTCCGGAAGGTTTCCTTTGCGAACCTGGGTCATCTTGAGTTGACATCTTGTACTACCAGAAGGCTGGCATGGAGTTTCACGAGATCTACAGCACTGGAGCTTTGCAGAGGATCCTGAGAGGAAGTAGAGCGGTAGTGTAGTTTGTGTGTTTGCGTGTTGCTCAGAGTGAAAAGCAAGAGAGGGAATCTGGGATTTGAGATTTGCAATTTTCTTTTGAGTTGAAGAGTTTTGACTTACAACAGAAAAGAAAAGAAATGGGCTGGATGGCAGAGGCGCTGCATAGGTCCATAGGGAACTGGACGGCAGGGGCGATTACGACTTGCATAGGTTCCGAAAAGAAAAGAAAAGTTGTAGAAAGTCAAAACGTGGACCAGATTGCAAGAGGTTGCAAGGTTCACACGTGAGCTAGATTGCAGACGTGCATAGGCTCAGAGAACAGATTTAAGTAGAAGAGAAAGAAACAAAGGGAACTGGACGGCAGGGGCGATTACGACTTGCATAGGTTCCGAAACGTGAAACTGACTGAAATGAATGTAAATGTGCTGTCAGTTTGTAGCTCGACATACTGTCTAAGTGAGAGACGAAGTATGGAGCTGTCTATTATGCTGGACTTGACGTGACATTTTGTCTGGACTTCTCATGTTTGTGTAGGTTTCATTCCACCGTTGCTGTTTTACTATAAGACAACTTTGGCTCAGTGTTTTTGCATTTCAGCTGCCCTCGCAATAGCTTTGAGATACCATGGCATCAACGGCAATGGAATCCATTCGTCTTTGGTTGGCGTTGACTCCTAAGCAGTTTGAGGACTTGAACAATGGGAAGGAGATTCAGCCTGACGAATATTCCAAGAGGTTTGGGCTACGAAAAGACCCGGTTGCTGCCGTCGAGCGTGCTCAGTACTTCAATGACTGGACACCGGAAGGTCCCAAGGGTGAGTTTTGTGCTAAAGACTATGTTCTGGTCGAGGTCGAGGTGACCGCCATTGGCTATCTCCAGAAAGCCGAGGCGGGAGTTCTCTTGAAATATAAGCCCAACGAATACCGTTGGCAGGGGACGATGAAATCCGTAGAGTTTGACCAGTACGGAAACTTGCTACTTGGGCTCGCCTCAGTTGTTTGTCTGCAGGGGTGGGGGTTTGCTGTGCTAGTGTGTGTGTGTGCCGGCTGTTTGCAGGGTTCTGGTTTGGGATGTCTCTACAACCTGCACTTTCAACTTGCACAACCTTGAACAAACAAACAGGTTTCTATTTCGGCAGTTCCGTTTACCGGGCCTCGGCTTATTTGCACTGTTTATTTGGAAGACAACTTCTGAGGATTCATCAACTCGTTTTGAAGTGCTGTCTTATTTCATTTCAGATGAGACATGTCGTACCTTGGATGAAACTTACCTGGGTTGCAGTTTTCAGTTTGACTCCTTTTCAAATGCACGTACTTGAAAGGAACATGGAATGAGAATCGTCTCGATGTGGGAGATCAGGCTCAAACAAATTTTCTGCTAGATGTAGGCTAGGGACCAGGGGCGCAGATGGATGACTGGAGTGGGATTGACAAGATTGACAGTTCACTTTGCAAAGCTTTGCGTGGTGTTTTCAGCTCACCTTTGCATGTTTCTGCAGCTTTTGATGAACTGGAAGCCGCACAGGGACTAGTGGATGATGCACTGGGCAATAGCTACGGTGCTGCGAGGAGAGATGCAATTGCAAGAGCACTTTTGGATTGGAAGGATACCTCAGGTGGTCGGCTTGAGTTCATGCGTCGAGAGGGCATGCAGGAACGTGTATCCCATGGGAAGCTTGCAGAGCACTCCAGTCATATAAATAGCATATCTGATAGTTACGATGGCATAGTTGCAAGTAGCCCCATGCTGGGTTTGGCTTCACTGGAGGGTCAGCTGGCGAAGCGTGCAAAGACTGGCAACACAGCCAGAGCAGATGAGGAGGACAGATCGAAGAAGAAATGGGCCCTGCATTTGGCTGAGATAATAGTGGAGGCCAAGCTTCCAGCAGTTGCGGCATTCACTGGATTGCCCAATGCAAATGCTGCTTGGGTGAGGGCATTTGGTTCTCGCCGTTCAAAGACGTTGCGCAATAGAGCTAGGGCCTGGAAGAAGCTGCGTGATTGGCTGATTATTACAACAGGGACACCTTGGCCATCGGGAGTGGCTATCCTTTTGCAATATTTGGAAGAGCGGAATGAAGTCCAACCCATGGGCAAAACTGTACCGATGTCAATACATTCAACGTTGGCATTATTGGAACTGGTTGGACAAGTCCCGTCAGAGGCTCGTATTTCAGAGGATCAGCTATGGCTGGAATCAGTGAAGTCTTGGACTGCTGAGTTGAGTAGAGATGCACCGCCAAGGCGACAGGCGGACCTGTATACAGTTGCAATCGCTGTGAGTTCAGAACTGACGCTTGCAAATGAAGCGGCTCCACTTGGACAGAGATTTTATTCCTTTGTACTGCTCTTGCTCCTTTGGGGTACAATGCGTTGTGATGATTTACAGAATGTGGATCCAGCTTCTTTGGAGTTGTCTCAGTTGGGACTACGTTTTGTGCTGCGCAGAACTAAGACTAGCGGTCCTGGAAAGCCTGTAGGTGAACTTCAAGGTTTCATTGCGAGAGATATCAGTTTGTCAGGTGTTGATTGGTTGCGTTTAGGCATGGAGCTACTGGAAGAGGAAGAGTTGAATTTTCCTAGGGATTTCTTTGCGATTGGTTTTGCACATGAATGGGACAAACCTGAACGCAGTTTCCTGGAACCTGAGGGCTTAGCTACGATGTTAAGGAAGCTGCTGTTGACACTCCCCGCGGTGGGGCGCAAGATCAGCGGTCTGAGCCTCATTCAGGGAACCATGTTGATTTCACCGGAAATGGGTTCTTTCTGGACCGGTCACAGTGCCAGACACACCTTGCCGTCTTGGGCAGCTGCAGCAGGTGTCGGTAAAGAGGACCGTGACTACTTAGGCAGATGGAGTTATGCGAAACATGGTTCACAGGATTATGTTTTGACTTCTAGGCAAGTTGTGCACCGCATACAGCGAGCTGTTTGTAAGTTCATCCTGGAGGGCCTTCCGCAACCAGGACTTGTCGAAGAGGAGTTGATGGAACGTATCAAGTCATTTGCAGTCAAGGTAAATGCTGGTCCACTGACAACGGCCAGAAAACATGCTGTTTTGGTTTGGACACTTGCTGGAAGTGCTTGGCATTTAGGTGGTGAGTTTCCCTTGCTTGACACGGGTCCAGTTGCGGCGCCCATGGAGGTTGCACCTGAAACCGAGTCGTTTGAGCCCCAGGATCCAGATGTTTTGCCAGAGGCACCATACTTTATCACGATTTGCAGAAAGACGCATTTCCGACGTCTCCATGTTTCAAAATCGTGTGCAGTACGTCAGGAGCGCTGCTTGGTGACACAACCAGTTTACTCATTGAGTGGTGATGTTGCTGACGCTGTTTGCAAACTGTGCAAACCCAAACTGACAGAGGGACAACAGGGACCAGATAGCTCCAGCAGTTCGAGCTCCAGCAGTTGAAGGTTTCCACCTTAGACCTCCCTTAGGGATGATCTTGCGTTGTGCGTTTCACGGAAAATTGATTGCTGTGGGCTGTGCAGTCTCTCTGATTCTTACATTTCTGGCATGTTAGTGTTGAACATAGATTGAGGGTTTGCGCTGCATTTCATTGAGATTTCATTTGAGTCGAGTAACGCAAGAGGCATTGAGGCCGAAGGTCAGGTTCAGATTTGGATTGATCGCATGTGAGTGAGTGGAGTTGTCTTTGAGTGCCATGAGTTTCGAGTCGAACTTCTTTGAGCTTCTTTTCATGTCTTGCATGTAACCTTCTTGATGCAGGCAGGTGCAGGTTTGATCATGTTGATTGTTTCAGTATTGGAGACCTGGAGAAAAGACCAGGACAAGGTGTTGTTGACACCGTTCTCATTGAGAAATCTCAGTACTATTTCTGCGTGTGTCGTGGTTTTAATAGGTTTGCCACTATGGCACGGGAAGAAGTGAGAGATTCCCGAAGCAACCACGGCTCACTAGCCCCTTAGGGAAGCAGAGGGCCATGAACGCACCAGCAGGTGTTACAGAGAATGATATGCGTGCCTTCTTGCACGACAGAGTGGAAGCTGATTTGGCATACATCTTACAAGAGAACGGTGTGCCATTAGCCTTGCAGTACAATCTCACCCAGGTGTTTGGCCAGCTCAGGCGCTTCAGTGCCATTGCAGACACCCGACAGGGAGTGAGGCAAGCTTTGAGAGAGGATTTGCAGGTCCAGGAAAACAGTTTGCAGAATAGAGCTGCAGTGGCTGGAGTTGTAGCTGCTTGGGAAGCCTCCCGAGAGTATGCAGCTAAGCAGGCAGAACTCAAAGCAGAAGCCAGGTTCCTAGGGGTCGCAAGGCCGGTGACTCAGACGGATAGGGCAGCCATGCGGGCAGCTTACATTGCAACACATGGAGAGATCGAAGAGACGTACGAGCCTTCAGATGACTATCTTTCTTCAAAGATTGAGGAATTGGAAGCTCATGAGCCAGTGGCGTCTTATTTGAATGAGGTCACTAGCAAGAAGACAGCCAAAACCATGGGCATTCAGACATCCGTGGATAGTTCAGGTCATGTTCGCATTGTGAAGTCCAGGCAGAAGGGCCAATTGCCGCAAGGCACTGAGGAGCTGCGCACGATCTTGCGCGTCGAGGGCAACACGTGGTGTTATCTTGCTGCAAAGTATCGTAACAATCCAATGTTACATGGCCTGACACCCGACGACTGGCTGAAATATACAAATTTCTTGTTAGGTGACAAGTGTTATCTTATGAAAATTCCAGGGCCAGCCTCATCAGCAGGGAGCTCAGAGATGGTGTCATTGCGTCCTCCTTGGAATGTGATGTTATCTTATGAGTTTGAGTTGAGAAAGGAAGCTGTCAAGAGGGCTTTCAGAAAGAGTAGGCCCCTACGTGAGTGCTTGGAAGAGGTGTGCGCTGATGCTCAACTGAAAGAACAGTATTTCACCAGTCCGATTGCCTTGCAAGGAAAATCCGGACGGGCAGAAGATGCCTCTTCGAACAACAATCGCAACTGGCGCCGACCTGAGTTTCCTGGAGGCAATGGGCCACCGAATAAGTGGCACAAAGGAACTGGCAAGAAAGGTGGCAAAGGCAAGTCGAAACAACGTCAAGGAGGCAAAGGTGGATCTGAGCACTCTATGGTTTCCTTTACAGATGACAATCGACAGATTTGTTTTGCATACAATGCACAAGGCTGCAAAGGCGGCTGCGGCAGAGTTCATGTTCGTAGGGTGCGGGGATGTGGCAAACCGCATCCAATGTGGCAACATTACCAAGGCATGACCCAAGGGGCTGAGAGTGCACCCCCCAACAAGAACTGACAAACGGCAACAGATTTGCCGACGTTGCGGGTGGTCTACTTGTTTGCAGGCGCATCAAGGCGCGGAGACATCAGACAGCAGCTGAGACATCAGACAGCAGCTGCAACTATTGGCACATGGCATGTTTCACTTGGAGCTTAAAGAGCTCGATATTGAGCTTCACCATTCCCATGACTTGTCAAAGACAGAACTGTGGGATGATCTATTCAAGGACATTGATCAAGGGCTTGTGGACGTTTTGTTGGTTTCACCACCATGCAATACATTCAGCAGGGCAAGGCACCACTTTCGACAAGGAGGTCCAAGACCACTACGGTCAGCTACTTGGCCGTTGGGCTTCCCTTGGTTACGCATGACAGATCAAGAAACGGTGCAAACTGCAAATTTCTTTATTTTTCAATGTTTGGAAGCTGCAAAGCGAATGCATGCGCAAGGACGGTTTTACTGGTGGGAACACCCTGAGGATTTGGGAAAGACAAGGGCAGGAGATTACCCTGCGTCAATCTGGCAGTTGCAGGCTTTGCGACAGTTGGTGCAGGCGACACAGGCCGCTTCCTGGGCCATACATCAATGCATCTTTGGGGCTCCCACCTCCAAACCGACCAGGTTGATTTCAAATTTACCAAATTGTTTGCAACATGGTGTGAACTGGGCGACTTTTGATGAAGCTGGCTTTTACACAGGACCATTGGGGAAATGTCCCCACATCTCGCACCCACCACTTCTGGGATTTAATGTGGAATTGCAGAAGTGGAACACAGCTGATTCAGCGGCATATCCTGAAGAAATGTGCAAATCAATAGCGCTTCCACAGTGCATGGCTGCGCAGGGGGTACATGACACTGCAACAGCGCCTGCTACAGATACACCTACAACCACTGCACCTTCAACAGCCAAGACACCTGCCACCACTTCTACCAACCCTTCAACGGTCATCCAGGACACCACATCAACGACCTCTTCAACTGCGCTTCACAAGGGCAAGGGGCCCGTGTCTGGATCGACTGGATTCAGTGAGCCAGCCAATGGGGAAGCTGAGAACGAAGGCAACAAGCCCCATGGAGAGATTTGGATATCATCAGGTGAAGATCAGATAGCTGGAAGTGGGCAGGTGCAAGAGGATACGGTGTTTGACAGTACAACCTCTTCGTGTTTTGGACAGCCCATCATTTGCAGATACGAAGGTTGCAAGAAAGAGTTCACTGATGGCTTTGGATTGTGCTCACCAGGCAGGTGGTTACCAGGGGCCCGCAATTATCTGGCTAAAGGTTCAGCAACAAAGCATGCTGAACAAGTTGTAGAGATCCTTCACGATTTCTTGGTGAAGGAGATTGGGGACTTACGGAAGGAAGCATTTCGCTTGGCACTTGGGCATTATCAGCAATCCCCTTTTGGTCCGGAACAGTTGCAGACATTGAGAAAGAAGATAGCCACCTTGCTCAGACCGGGAGATGAAGATGCTTTACTTGTGCAGCCACCGCGGCAACCTTTCTTTCTTTATTTGCTTGCAGAATCTTTGAGGGAGCTGGATGATCCCGATTGGGAGATACTGGTCCAAGGGGAAGAATGTTTTGCAAAGGGAGTGCCGCTTGGTGTGGAGACCGAGCTTCCAAGAACTCCCCAGGTGTTCAGGCGCAGAGAGAAGTTTAGGCAGCTGGACATCACTGACTTTCAACCGGACATGAAAAACTATGCTACGGCAGAGCTTTCTTCGGAAGAGTTGGAGGCGCACTTCAGAAAGGACGAATTGCTGGGGAGGATGCTTCCCACGACTCTAGCGGAGGCCAAGATGGAGTACGGTGAAGAAGCAGTACTCATTGCAGCAATGGGAGCAATACAGAAACCAGATGGTAGTGTGCGCCCCTTGCATGATGGCACACACGGCATTGGGCTCAACAACAAGATCAAAATACTTGACCGCCTGGAAGTTCCAGGACCAGAGGAGATCATAGAGTTGGTGGCCCTTGCAGCAGAGTCCCGTGAAGCTGCCTTCTGTCTTTCAGCAGATATAAGCCAGGCGCATCGATGCGTGCTCATACGTAAGGCTGACTGGGCACGGTTAGCATGTCGCTCAAAATCAGATTCACGAACATTGTGGCTGAATTGTGTTGGCACCTTTGGAGTTTCAAGCGCAGCATACTGGTGGACTAGATTATTTGCTTGCGTGGGACGATGGGTCCTAAGGATTTTGGATAGGAGACAGACGATGCAGCTGGCATACGTCGACGACGTGCACTTGCTTTGCCTGGGCCCACAGAAATTTGTAGCACTCTGGCTGAGCATACTGGCATATGAGATCATGGGCACACCATTTGCGTACCACAAATTCAGAGGTGGCCTCAATGTGGAGTACGTTGGTTACCAGATGGAATATGACCGACAAGTGGCAGGCATTTCAAAGAAGAGAGCAGAATGGGTCATCAAGTGGATCGATGATGCAGAAAGGAACGGATGGATGGTGCAAGGGAGATCATTTATAGAGTTCACTGGAAGGTTGTCATTTGTTGCGAGGGTGGTCACTTGGATCAAACCATTTCTGGCTCCACTCTTTGCTTGGACATCGGTGCTTGCACGGGGAACCGTCACAAGGGTTCCCACCTTGGTCTTTATTTCTTTGAGATTTTTGCGGCGGCAGATACAACACCATGGACACTGGGTGAATGTGCTGGCACCTTGGCAGTCTCCCAGTGAGGCATTCCGTACGGATGCGAAGTGCGAGGACGGACGGATTGTCCTAGCTGGATGGTCTCTGGAAGCTGGAGTGGAAGACTTGAAGAGATCATCATGGTTTTGCTTGGAGGTATACCCTACGGATCTTCCCATGTTCTTCAAAGAAGATGGCTCGTCGCAGTGGTGCTCTACTGCGGCAGAACTCATGGCATCGTACGCAGCTGCGTGCGCTTTCGGCTATTTGAAGGGAGAGAAACGGGTGAAGAATCTGAAACTGGCGATCACTGGCGGGACTGACAACAAGTCTAATCAGTCCTTGCAGAACAAGAACATGTCAACGAAATGGCCGTTGTTAGCGGTTCACATGCAAGTTTCGGCGGAGTTGCTTTCATGCGGAACAAGGATGAAATTGCGCTGGAGACCAAGGGAGCAGAATGTTCCTGCCGACTCCCTCACCAATCAAGACTTCAGTTTATTTGAGTCGGATAACCGTATTCCCATCACCTTGGGAGACCTTCCTCTGGAACTGCTGAAGGAGCTTTGTTCGGCGAGAGATGAGTTTGTTGAAGCGAGAGATGGCCAGGTTGGTTTGAGACTGGTTGAAGGCAGGCAGACAAAAAGACAAAAGATGGCAAACAAAACTGTATGGTAACGGGCATCCTGTCTCTAAAGGAGGGGCAGACTCAGACAGATGCTTGATGCGTTGAACCTTCTTAGCTGGTGAATATGCAATGGTTGAAATGCAATTTGGTTTACAAGAAACACTGGCTTGAGACTTTGGTGAAGCTTTGCAGTGCTGGCAGCAGCACAGACTCATACGGCAGGATGTCCACAACCCCCGGTCAAAAAGAACATGCGCTGAGCGATCCTTCTGAGACCATTTCAGTGATGTCCACATTTTCAGTTGCAGCAGCTTTCATTTCATTGATGTCGTTTGAGTTTGGAGATATTCATTTGAGTTTACGTTTCAGGGTTCGTTTGGTTTGGAACTTCGGCAATTGCAGTTACACACACACACACACCTTGCACACACATGCACACACTTACCACCTTCGGTGCTCACCCCTCCCCCTGTAGATGACTTCTGGGGTCCCCACAACGGAAGACAAGCTACTTGGGCTCGCCTCAGTTGTTTGTCTGCAGGGGTGGGGGTTTGCTGTGCTAGTGTGTGTGTGTGTGCCGGGTGTTTGCAGGGTTCTGGTTTGGGATGTCTCTACAACCTGCACTTTCAACTTGCACAACCTTGAACAAACAAACAGGTTTCTATTTCGGCAGTTTCGTTTACCGGGCCTCGGCTTATTTGCACTGTTTATTTGGAAGACAACTTCTGAGGATTCATCAACTCGTTTTGAAGTGCTGTCTTATTTCATTTCAGATGAGACATGTCGTACCTTGGATGAAACTTACCTGGGTTGCAGTTTTCAGTTTGACTCCTTTTCAAATGCACGTACTTGAAAGGAACATGGAATGAGAATCGTCTCGATGTGGGAGATCAGGCTCAAACAAATTTTCTGCTACCCACCCTCCCTCACCTTGGGGGGGAATGCAGTCTTTACGTGACAACCGAATCGAAGTTTACACTGCGGAACAACTGGATCGATATGAGCAGCTTTTCGATCTACCACTGACCCGTACCATTTTCGGTCTGGGTGTACAACAGAGCATTAGCTTTGTGACCTTTCTGACCATTGGTGACGTTTGCATCCTACGCGTTTGCTGCTTCGCCATCGCAGTCGAAATTCACGATGTCATCGATGACATGACTTTGGTTGGATTGGAAATACAACAGTCTCCCATTGAGGGGCAGACTCAGACAGATGCTTGATGCGTTGAACCTTCTTAGCTGGTGAATATGCAATGGTTGAAATGCAATTTGGTTTACAAGAAACACTGGCTTGAGACTTTGGTGAAGCTTTGCAGTGCTGGCAGCAGCACAGACTCATACGGCAGGATGTCCACAACCCCCGGTCAAAAAGAACATGCGCTGAGCGATCCTTCTGAGACCATTTCAGTGATGTCCACATTTTCAGTTGCAGCAGCTTTCATTTCATTGATGTCGTTTGAGTTTGGAGATATTCATTTGAGTTTACGTTTCAGGGTTCGTTTGGTTTGGAACTTCGGCAATTGCAGTTACACACACACACCTTGCACACACACATGCACACACTTACCACCTTCGGTGCTCACCCCTCCCCCTGTAGATGACTTCTGGGGTCCCCACAACGGAAGACAAGTTATACAAGTTTTCCACGGAGGCTCACCAGATCATCTGAGTACAGAGGAAATATCCTCTCAATGTATAAGTTTTTTTTGTAATGGTTCCAGGTCGGGTGGTAGTGCTAGGCTTGGAAGCCGACGATAGCTGCGAGGAGAAATGCAAAAGCTGTGGTGAAAGAGCTGTCAAGCTGAGATTGGGGTGAAATGACAATTTTGGGATGTCTTGGAGTTTCAGAGTTTTGGACGATTTCCGACTGGACAGAACTTGGACTTGTGGAACTCAGTTTGAGTGGTTTTCTGTCAGCTGTCACGAGTTTTGCATGAGTTTTCATTTTGCTGCATGACATGTCTATGGGTTTCATACGCGTGGAAACCACTGTGATCTGTTTTACAGTTTTGTGAAGATTTGTGCATGCATTGGCAGTTGGATTTGGATTGATTTTGCGGTTTGCCACAAGTTTGCATTATTTTCTTGGTCTGAGACATTGAAGTTTGGTCGATCACATATTACCTGTCAAGATGTGCGGCACGCATCTTGGGGTAGTATTGAATGTGATCTTTGTCGGAAGTGTAATTCATCTGTTAAGGTGTGAGTCACGCACCTTAGGATGAATAAGAGAGAGTTTGTGCTTGGCATGGCATGAAATGGCTGAGCTGTGGTCTGCATGGTCATTAGAGGGATTGTCAAGTTGAATTGCAGATTATGCCCAAGCTGTATTTGGGCCCCGGCTTATCCCAGCGGGTGCATCAGGCCTTGTCTAGGAGACTCGAGCAATTCATGGCAGCGAACGTGGCAGCTTCCGCAGCTCCAGCAGCCCCAGCAGCTCCATCGACAGAGGGTGTGGAGTTTCCTGTGTCTGAGAATCCAGCGCTACCGGCGCCAGCGCTACCGGCGCAGACAGGAGTGACTGAGACGGATTCTGAGAAAGAGAAAGAACAGGATACTATCCATGTGGATGGAGAAGAGAAGGAAGAGAAGGAAGAAGGAGATGCTGGAAGAGATGATGATAGATCGAGATCTCCGAGGTTGAGAAGGCATCAGGAGTCCTTTGACCCCAATGAGGCAGCCGACTTGTTGAGTTCTACCACAGGCTTGGCTGTGGGAATCACGTCCATGGTCGCTGCGCTGAAAGGGTCTACGGACAAACTTGAGATCCTGATTAAGAGTACCCATACTCTGCAGTCTGACCTTTGCAGATCCCTGGAAGCCGTTGGAGAAGCCGTCACCAACATGGCTCGTGCATCTGAGTCCCTTGCTGCGGGGGTGAATCACAACACCAGCAGGGTTGGTGCAATGGTAGGTGAACTTACCAAGCTCAAGAAGCATGTTGAGTGGTCGCTTGACGTCTCGATGAAGGACACGCTCAGAGACAACAAGAAAGGTCGCTTAGAGAGGGACCAATCGTTACAAGACATCATGTCTCAACTCCAGGAGTCCATGGATAAGCTCCAGGAAAACCTGAAGCTGGTGGCAGAGAGAATCGAAAGAGGAACGCCACCGGCAGAAATCAGGGGAACGCCACCGGCAGAAGTACCCCCGGCGTATGACCCGCCAATGGCACCTATGACGCCAGCTATGACACCAGCTGGACCTGGCCCAAGTATCCCACCGCCAAGGCCTGCAATTCCAGCACCACCGACGCTGCAGACGGTGCGATTTGCAGGGTATAGCCCGGCAAGGATGGGCGAAGTGCCAATGAGTTATCCCCTGGCTTTGGAGGTGAAAGACATGAAGTCGCCACCTACTCAGGTGATCGAGGAAGTCACGGGACGTGTCAGAGCTGTTTCACCCACACCACGTCACGATCCTCTGACGGGGACCGCAGCGTTCTCCCCTCTGGGGTATATGCAGATTCAGGGGACGCGGGAATACCGCAGGGTATACCCCTGATATCTATCCCTGAGCAGAGTGCTAAAGGCACTGGAATTCGCCTGGTCTAACGACAAGAGAATAGTTGATTTTATCAGCTCGAGGTTCACTTGTTGTTTTCAGAGATGACGGCATGGCTGAGCGCAGGCATCGGATTTGAGTTTAAAAGGGGGCGAGACACGCCGATTGATTGACGCAGTAGATATAGTTTTGCCTGCATATTTTGGTTGCGTGAGGTTCGTTTTGTTGTCATATGTCTCTCAATGACGATAGCGAGAGCAACGTTCTTGAAGGCATTCAGAACTTGGAGTTGCTGGCAGATCTGAGGGAGACATCATGAAGAAAGGTTGAGGTTGTTCTTGATTGGCTTGATTGCGATATTTCTCATGTTTGAGTTGTTGTGTACATGACTTGAGTTTTGTTTCTTGAAACATGGAACTTGATGTTGTGAGTGTTTTCACAAACATTTGGTATAATTGTGTTGTCATGGCACATGATGAGAACCTGGGAAGAAACTCGGACGGAATCTGAGTTTAAGTAATCAGAAAATCTTCCGGGGAATCTGATGCCATGATTGCAGACACATTGCACTGTCATGTCATGATATAGACTCAAACAAGACATACCACACCTCCGAGATCATGAGGATGGACCAAACGTTAAAAGGGGGACGGCGATCTATGCGATGATGAAGCTGTGAGAGATGTTTTGCCAAAATGTCCCTCACCGCTTCCTCATTCCGTGCCAATCTTAGCTAGTCCTGACCCTGACGTTGAGAGATTCTCATTCAGAACATTTTGAATTTGCTGTGCAGTGACTGTGAACTGTACTTCACTTGCTCTGAATTTGAGATGAGTTGCATGAGTGATATTACTTCACTTGCGTTTCCTTTTCATACGCCTACCTTCTTCACGAAGGTGCGGATTAGCTGAAACAGTTGGCCTTTGTTTTCGCGTTGACTCCGATCGTGCGACGTTAGGTTTCGTCTTGGGTCTCGTGTGTGTGTGTGTGTGTTTGTTTTGTTTTGTTTTGTTCTGTTGTTGTTGTTTTGTGTGTTGTAGGAAGATAACAGCACTGTAGATATATCGTTATCGACGCCATGGTTTATCCGAGGAACTGGATTTTGGAAGACGAGCTTAGTACTGGAAAGACTTTAGGAGTCTTTGGACTGAGTCTGGTATTCCAACATCTGGCTTTCGCGACAGAGAAGATTTTGAATTTGGAAGTTACGACATTATGCATGAGTCGAACAAGATGAGTTTTGGATGATGCTTTATCATCTACCGTGAGTTTTGGAAGTCCACGTACTTCCTTAGACATCTTTTGATCATGGATATGATCTGGAACGTGAACTTTTTCAAGTACGGGTATCTGGAAGTGAGTAAGTGGATGAGATGTCATGTCGAAAGGGGGTATGGAAATTTGACACCCTGTGTGAGCACCCTTTGGGTAAGGGTGAAGCGACATGTCACTCATCATTGTGTACAAACTATGCACAGAGGATATGTGGAAGGTTACTGCAAGAAGTCATGGAAGATTGGTAGAGAACACTCTACTTATTGCGGAAAGAATCTTGTATGTGACCATCCTGTGTCACAATATTCTATTGGTCTTCGGACTTGCCATTTCTGACATCAGGATGATGTCATCGATCAGTGTTGAACGGTGATTATTGTATATGGATCAGTTCTACATCTTATTCTGGATTCGACTTGAGTCTGGTACAGCTTATTGCTTGAGCTGAAGATACCTACATTGGTTTGACAATGGAATTGTTTATTATGTCTTCGACGCTGAGAAGCTCATTCTCTCCAAGTGATGAGAACAAAGCTAGAAACTCTTGGAGAAGAGTTTAAGCTAGCTGGAAATATCTGATGGAGAGAACCTACTATGCTTTGAGGCTTGGACTATGAGATGCATTGGTATTGTGAGGACAATGGCCATATTTGGGCATCTTATTTGTCTGAGAGTTTTGTGATGAGATGTTTCGGTATTGTGAGGACAATACCTACATCATCGTCATCGTGACCTATGGATCATACACTTGATCTTATGGTGTGCACTTTATCGTTCCTGAGATGACTTTGGTTATCTCTATAAGGACGACATTGTTTTGGGTACGACTTTGATCTACATTGTGGATTGGCTATTACAGTGGTCGAAAGACTTCAGCGATACAACTGTATTTGGCTGACCTACATTGACAATGTCGAATAGAACATTCTATTCTCCATTGAGATTGGAAGCTGTGAGATGCTATCTCTATGTGGAAAACTGATTTGGAGAAAGAACTTTGTGTTCTGACTATGCTTTGTATCCAGAAGAAGGGTGTACAGACACCTTGTGTGAATCACTTCGTTCTTGAGAAGTTAGTCAGCGTATGACTAGTGAGCTGGTTATTCACGTTTGAACGAGAACCAGTTTGTTTTGAGAACTTTTGGAAGTGTTTCGATGATTTTGAATTCATCTAGTGAAATTGAGTTTTGTAGACTTCTAGCAGCTGGAATAGTTTCAACAAACCTTTATTTGAAGAACTTGAGGTTTGTTAACTGGAAACCTGGAATCGAGTTTACCAGTTGAGACATCGGCTCGAAGGACTGGTGTCAGAAGTTCATTTAATGAACAGAAGCTGCTGTGTCACATAACTTGACATAAGACAGACCGACAGAGGGAACTTCTCCGTTTTCTTGTGTTTTGTTTGTTTGTTCTTTTGTTTCTCGTGTGTTTGTGTTTCTCTT